GTGCCCAACTACTTGTGCAACAAATGTCACTGTGACTAAAGTAACACAATGATGATTGATTGAAATGTACCACTTGAAAACTAAGATCGTCAGCTTTCAGAACAAATGCAAAATTCTGAAATCGGGCGCGCCCAATGTGGCATAATTCACGGGCCATTTCAGTACAGTTTTCGATGGAATTAAACTGTAAGATATTTAAAGAAAACTTAAAGAAACCGTGATGGATATTATGGGATATAATAGACCGAAAATGAAAATAAACATGCGTATCTCTTTTATAGGTATAAAAGTAAATACTTAGCACGTGCTTTTACATTAAATAAAAGCCCCAGTAACAATAACAATAAAAAGTTACTTGAGAAAAGTATTCGGTATATACACCACCTACGCCCTGTGCTACTGGTGAAATATATATGTTTGAGATCAGTGGTGCATATTGGTTAGCAGATCATTACTGAACAGCGGCCTTTTTTTTTTTTTTTTTATTGCGTTTATTTAAGGTCGCCGCCGGAAAGCCCATATGGGCGACCGTACACTCAAGTCGGGCCATCCTAGAGCGTCCCGCCGAGATTTTTTCGTAGATTTTTTTCCAGCTTTTATTGGTGGAGGAAGACCCCAGGTGCCCCTCCGGGCATTATTTCAGGCTCGAGCGGGCACCCGGGTAGAACCACCGACCTTCCGTAAGCCAGCTGGATGGCTTCCTCACATGAAAGATTTCGACCCAAGTGAGGATCGAACCTACAGCGGTGAGGGACCAGTGATCTCAAGTCAGCGACCTTAACCACTCGGCCACGGAGGCCCCTCACACCTACGCCCTTTTTTTTTTTTTTTTCAATGCGTTTATTTAAGGTCGCCGCCGGAAAGCCCATATGGGCGACCGTACACTCAAGTCGGGCCATCCTAGAGCGTCCCGCCGAGATTTTTTCGTCGATTTTTTTCCAGCTTTATTGGTGGAGGAAGACCCCAGGTGCCCCTCCGGGCATTATTTCAGGCACGAGCGGGCACCTGGGTAGAACCACCGACCTTCCGTAAGCCAGCTGGATGGCTTCCTCACATGAAAGATTTCGACCCGAGTGAGGATCGAACCTACAGCGGTGAGGGACCTGTGATCTCAAGTCAGCGACCTTAACCACTCGGCCACGGAGGCCCCACTCACACCTACGCCCTGTGCTACTGGTGAAATATATATGTTTGAGATCAGTGGTGCATATTGGTTAGCAGATCATTACTGAACAGCGGCCGAATTTCGTTTTAAATTAATGTGTGCAATTATTTTTGTCATCATTTAAAACGTCAAACTTTTCGTCGTTTCGACAGATGTAACGTTTGTATTCATTATTTCAAATAAAGTATAACAGCAACGGACTGACGTGTACATGTAAATGCACTATTGTTGAGAAAGCAAAGCACTAAAGGGACGTAATAACTCTTTTTGTTGTTTGAAGCAATGCAAATGGTCGACGGGAGATAATCCTGTATCTTTCTGAACTGTTGTTATAACTGAAGGAAAGTATAATAATTTCGAGACTTTGGCATCAATTCTTCATATGATATCGTGCGCTATAAGCTGATTATTGATATTGTTGAGACAATGTAGTAAAGCAAGACTTAATTCATTTAATGGTAAGACTACGTTTAGCTTCCTGAAGAGGTAAATACAAACGACCATTCAAGCAGAGCTAGACTTCATTCTTAAATGTGGCCCGGGTACCAAAACTAATAAGATACGCTGAAGACGATAAAAATGCTATGTATACATGCTCAACATATCAACAAATATCTTGAAAGAATTCGTGCAATTAGTTCTGGGCGATTGCTACTAAAGTCATAAGTAATACATTGGCCAGCTCAACAAGATGCCTAACTTCTTAGAAGAAAACGAAACATTACAATAGAAAACTCCTCATTCGTTTAGACAGAAATAAACGTGTACAACTTTCGTAGAGGAGACTATTCAAAAATACATGATGATGATGATGATGATGATGATGATGATGATGATGATGATGATAAAACCCGAATATTGTTATTCCTTGTGATTATACATATGTTGCAACTCACAACTTGTCCACACAACCTCACTGCATAAACTCGCGAAACACATATGACACAAATGTGTCGTCTGCAAAATTGTGCTGCACGTGTAATAGTGCCATTCACTACTGTTTCTTGTGCCGTTACCTTATCTTAACTTAATTATGATGTACGCGTGTGCCCAACTACTTGTGCAACAAATGTCACTGTGACTAAAGTAACACAATGATGATTGATTGAAATGTACCACTTGAAAACTAAGATTGTCAGCTTTCAGAACAAATGCAAAATTCTGAAATCGGGCGCGCCCAATGTGGCATAATTCACGGGCCATTTCAGTACAGTTTTCGATGGAATTAAACTGTAAGATATTTAAAGAAAACTTAAAGAAACCGTGATGGATATTATGGGATATAATAGACCGAAAATGAAAATAAACATGCGTATCTCTTTTATAGGTATAAAAGTAAATACTTAGCAAGTGCTTTTACATTAAATAAAAGCCCCAGTAACAGTAACAATAAAAAGTTACTTGAGAAAAGTATTCGGTATATACACCACCTACGCCCTGTGCTACTGGTGAAATATATATGTTTGAGATCAGTGGTGCATATTGGTTAGCAGATCATTACTGAACAGCGGCCGAATTTCGTTTTAAATTAATGTGTGCAATTATTTTTGTCATCATTTAAAACGTCAAACTTTTCGTCGTTTCGACAGATGTAACGTTTGTATTCATTATTTCAAATAAAGTATAACAGCAACGGACTGACGTGTACATGTAAATGCACTATTGTTGAGAAAGCAAAGCACTAAAGGGACGTAATAACTCTTTTTGTTTTTGAAGCAATGCAAATGGTCGACGGGAGATAATCCTGTTTCTTTCTGAACTGTTGTTATAACTGAAGGAAAGTATAATAATTTCGAGACTTTGGCTTAAATTCTTCATATGATATCGTGCGCTATAAGCTGATTATTGATATTGTTGAGACAATGTAGTAAAGCAAGACTTAATTCATTTAATGGTAAGACTACGTTTAGCTTCCTGAAGAAGTAAATACAAACGACCATTCAAGCAGAGCTAGACTTCATTCTTAAATGTGGCCCGGGTACCAAAACTAATAAGATACGCTGAAGACGATAAAAATGCTATGTATACATGCTCAACATATCCACAAATATCTGGAAAGAATTCGTGTAATTAGTTCTGGGCGATTGCTACTAAAGTCATAAGTAATACATTGGCCAGCTCAACAAGATGCCTAACTTCTTAGAAGAAAACGAAACATAACAATAGAAAACTCCTCATTCGTTTAGACAGAAATAAACGTGTACAACTTTCGTAGAGGAGACTATTCAAAAATACACGATGATGATGATGATTATGACGATGATGATGAATTTCAACCCCGATTATTGTTATTTCTTGTGATTATACATATGTTGCAAAAGCAACCGAATCATTCACATCTTGTCCTCACAACCTCGCTGCATAAACTCGCGAAACACATATGACACAAATGTGTCGTCTGCAAAATTCCCGTACATGTGCCATTCAATATTCATTCTGCTGTTATTCACATATCTCTCAGCAGAAACAAACGAATCATTCATATCTTGATTTAAAACAATATTTGAATAACCTACCCTCGCTAAACACATATGATTCAAATATGTCGTCTGAAAATTCCTGAAAGTTTGCTATTTAATTTTCAATCTGCTGTTATTAACACAACTTGCAGAAACAGACATATCATTCACATATTGATCTCAAATAACATTTGAATAGCTTAAACTCGCGAAACACATATGACACAAATGTGTCGTCTGAAAAAATTTTCTGCACGTGAAATAGTGCCATTCATGTAACGTGTGTATTTAGTATTTAAAGGTTTATCTTCCGTTGACCACTGCCGTTCTCATCCAAAGTAAAAAAGCAATTATGTTCCTTTAATAGCTGCTGTCTCCGAAAAAGGCAAGTGACGCGAATACAACGGTCACTATCTGCGCGCTTTGTTTGAATGACCATCATCTAACAATACGTCTATCAATATGACAAGACAACCACATCTGGATGACTTCAGATATAATGCACACGTTAATTTAACCGGTAACTTATTTCCAAGATCTATTACGTCCACCGGTACCCGTACCGTTGTTATATCTCGGAAATATATATATCCCCAGTACTATGGGGCGTAGGGGGTGTATATACTGAACACTGTTTTGAAACAATTCCCTGTTCATCGAAACGGGGCTCTTATTTCATGAAATAGCACAGTATATACGTTTTTTGATTTCTGTATAAGGGGCGGGGGGAAAAGAACAACTTTTACACATGCAATATATACACTTTAATTATGATCAATCTAACTGGAGATGACTTAAATTGGGCCTCTATAGAATTTAAAAGAACTACTTCCTAGACTACAACGGGTTGGGTCTAATTCCGTACAGGGTCCAAAAAATGACCATGCCACGGCCATATTCTATGGGCTAGAGCTATGTGCCTTACATCGCTGTAAAGAATTACATCGCTGTAAAGAACCTCCAGTCTAATACAATTTCCAATTTGCAACAATATCACTCAAATGGTGTCTCCAAGGTTGACACCAGAAAATTTTACGTTTTATATAGGGAACACATCGCAAACAAATGAAGCAAGAAAAAATCTTAACAATAGTCGTACGGAAAATAAAACGGGTAAGACAGAAGAAAACGAGTAAGATAAGGGACGGTCTTGAACAGGCTGTAGTATCTCTTTTTGGCGAACGTATACGTCCGCGAAATTTCCGAACTTATTTGATTATATCATAATCGTTAATTGAAATGGAAACGTAATTGAACAAATGTTACCTATTATACAGCAACAATCAGGAATAATATGGCAATAGAATGAGTTTATAATACCGGAGAAAAAATGTTTAATCTGCGGATTATTTTCTTCGACATCATAACCGGAAGTCGGATGAAGAAAAATTCATTGGGTGCGACGTGGAATCATCAATCAGGAAAATATGAGTAACAAAACTTAACATAAATTCAGATAAATAGAAACGAACACAATGTCAGAGACCAAGCAGCAGCAGTCAACCTACAAAGGATGGTTATATAAATGGACTAATTATTTGAAAGGCTACCAGAAACGCTGGTTCGTCCTGCAAAATGGACTTCTATCGTACTACCGGTAGGCAAAATGAGTGGGTGGGGACACTGTTAAACCAGGTCAAAAGAGATTCCATGAAGGCATTACAATTTGAATTTAAATAGGATTAAAAACGATGACATTTGATACAAAGTACATGATTGAATTCTTATGCACAAGTATTCTTCAAATGTCACCCATGGACATTTGTCAAATAATATCTTTAAAGATCCAGTTCCTTTTTACAGACTGCTGACAGCCAAAATATATGCCAGACATTTAACACCATAGACATTTCACAATTGAGATGTTTCACTCCCAAGACGGTTCACACCTAGACATTTCACTCCCTCTTTGTCAATTGTTTAGATGTTTCACTCCCAATTATTTTATTCTGATGTTTGACAGAAAAGTTAACACATATCTACATACTTAAATTTGAAATGAAAATTAGATTTACAGTAATCTTTTAGTGTTTCCTTTTTTCATTTTTATTATGGAGAAAATGTTATTTTTAATGAACTTTACAAAACCTTCTAAAACTGTTTGGTTATTTTATAAATAGAGGTGGCGCGATTATCACTGATTATCATTCCTGAGGTCCCTGGTTCGATCCTGGGTTACACCCTTGGGATTTTTCAGAGACACTTTCAGTGTTTCCACCTACCTAGAGGTGTACTGGTAAGAAATCCAGGTAATCCTCGCATGTATCAGTGCTATACACAGGGCATGTAAAAGAACCAAGGGGTCTATTTTATAAGAGCTAGGGACTGGTTCCCGGATTGTATCTCATAGTTGTCTCTTTAATGTGTACAATGTATACCTGCTTAGAGTGAGCGTAAACAATTTTAAAGCAATATGATGTAGAAATAGAAATAATAAAAAAGACTGGATGATATCAGCTCAAGAAAAGTAAATTTTGTTCTTTTTAATTAGTATTTCGAATTCCTTTAGCACACAGATTGAAACAGGGTTCCCTCTGGGTCAATTTTAGTTTGCGCCACCAAATTCACCAAACAGAAAAAGTTCCAGCCAATGGCGTTTAAAGTTGGAGCCAATAATTCTGAAAGGGAGACATGACTATCTTTGTTAAGATATGCCAGAATTTATTAGTTATATATCATTGTGATTACAAACACATATTTATAATATTTTATTTATTACAGCTGTTTATTATGTAAAATAGACATATAAATACATGAATTTCAAATTCCATTTAAATAAAAACATGACAACATAAATGTAATCAAAAACATCATGAGGTTGGGAGGTTCTGTTTTGCCTATAGCAGTTCTCTCTTTAAAATCACTCTCACTGACTTGACTGAGGCAAGATCTTTCCAGCTTCCACTGCATTCTGCAAATACAAAAGAAAAAAGAACAACATTACTATAAATAAACTTTATCTAAAAATCAATGAAAATAAAATGAAATAGATACCAAGTACTTTTTAACAATGAAGTACGGTATATCATTTATTTAATAGGTGTAATTAACAGTGATCTAAGTCAGGGGATTAAAGACGTAAATTGTTCCTGTTAACATATTGACACTTTCATCCTGACATGTTAATGAAGTGTCACACATTTTGAGGATAACAGTTTGATTAACAAACGAATTCTTTCATATTATGGCCAATGAGGCCGATTATTGACTTTTCAGTGTACTAGTTGTCGGATATTTTTTTATCTTGTCGGGGCCTGTAAAATTCGCCAGTTAAAGTTTTTATACGCTAGAATTAATATATTGTTGCATTTATCCGTTGCTGAGCGACCGAATAAGCGGTAACCCTGTGAAAGACTCTGAAATCCCCTTTAAATTCAATGGAATATCTTATATCATATGGCCATTTATTAATCAAAATACCATTAAACTTATATATATATATATATAGAAATTTTATTTAATCAAAAGTTGTTTAATTTATTGGATTGAACTGTCTTGGTGCGAACTGTCTTCGGAATGAAATTTCCATCTACCCTATCAATACAAATGCATATCATCGGCATCTATTAATATCATTTATCAAATACACCTTAAACTTTTGAGACCCTGTAAATTAACGAAGGACATGTGTTTTGATGCAACATCATTTGAGCTGCGTCATGACAAAACCAACATAGTGGGTTTGCGACCAGCATGGGTCAAGACCAGCCTGCGCATCTGCACAGTCTGATCAGGATCCATGCTGTTCGCTATCAGTTTTTCTACTTTACAGTAATAGAGTTGGTAAGCGAATAGCATGGATCCTGATCAGACTGTGCGGATGCGCAGGCTGGTCTGGATCCATGCTGGTTTGCAAACGCACTATGTTGGTTTTGTCGTGACGCGGCTAATATATCGTAAATATTTTATTACAGGAATCAAGCGGAGATGACACATACGTGCCGAGGAACTATAAATCTAGCCACAGCATTTATCACAACATCTGATTCGTGTACAATAGTCATATCTAGTGGTGGTAACCACACCTTTCATCTTAAAGCTACATCAGAAGTAGATCGGCAGAAATGGGTGACTGCGCTGGAGTTGGCGAAAGCTGATGCAATAAGAATGCTAGAACCTGGTATGTTTGAACTAATCTGTTCTCAGATTATATAATTTCAGTGATTTTTCTCACTTAATTGGGAAGAGGCCTTATAATAGCCTCTTGATTTTTGGAAAAATCATCGCTCAAATTGTCAATTTTGGGTGTAAAAAAACAGGTTTGAGGTTCAAATTTTTGGGTAAACTGAATGATTTTAAAGAAAATTTCAATTGGGAAGAGGCCTTTTATCGGAGTCTGTTATATATAATAAGCAGGAAAATCACTGAATTTGTAGAGCCTTCATTAATAAAATATAAAATTGATGTACTGTTGATATTTTTCTGTCAATTATTCATCGATACATACATTAAAAAATCGATAGTTTTGACTAATTAATGAAATGCCTAGAAATTATGAAAATTTGCCTTTGATATATAGTGAAGCTGGGACCCAGCCAAAACTACATGTCTTAAAACTATTTTGTGGTTACATAATGGACATATTTCATTGCAGTGATGAGAAATAGCCAGAAAATACTATGCAATTGTCATTTATGAACATACTAATTTGCATCATAATTGTATGAGCAGTATTATGTACATGTATTTTACTGAAATCATTTAAACAGGCCACTGAGGTATGAAAATGAATTATAGACAAGTAATTATAAGTAATTAACATAATATCAAATTCAATGTCTCATCAATATTTCTAAACTGAAATCAATATTTGGTCGATATGCTTTGCACAGAATCAGTGACAGCTCTTTAAATTTGAATTTAAATATAAACGTTATACCCACCTCTAGCACATAGAAGAAAATAACTTTTCAATATAAATTGGTCATGCAGTATAAACAATAATGATTTAGAATTAGATACATGTATCAGTCTATGCGAAAGACTTCTGAGTTTTACTGGACAGTAGGTCCTGTAAACTGAAATTTTTTACTGGACCAAACATGATTTTACTGGACCGAAAAAACCCTGATTGGTATAGCATTTTGAGTCACTTGATAAGTGTCAGCACTCAGCAGTCAAAAAATTTGTATACAAAAAGAAAATTATATTATCAACGAAGTGAAGTTATCTTTTTTCACCACAATCAAAATGTAAACATAAATATTGTTACACTTGTATTCAATGGATTTTGCTATTTAAACTTTAATTCCATACAGACTATATACTAGCAAAATGAGAGGGTAAATTTCAGCAAAAGTCTGGCATATGTAAACAGAATTATATAGATCGGTAATTCAGTGAAGTTGACAGATTAATTGTTCAATGATTTTGGTACCTTCACAGTACAGTTTAATTTTTGTCAACATCTTGGACGATCTTTCATATCCCTAATTCGCTGCTAAACACCAGTTGAGCACATGTGTAATTTAGCATTACTCTAAGTCTGTGGTTTAATGACGTAAATTTTTCCAATTAATACACTGACACTTTCATCTGTGTAAACAAACTAATAGCGGGTGACCTTTCACATCTGGGCCGCTTATGTCATTTAACAGGCCGCTTATTGACTTTTAATTGTACTAGTTGTCGGATATTTTATCTTACGTTGTTACATAAAAGCTTGCATTATGACAATGCATAACAGTTGACAAGCATTGCACGAGCTTATATTGTGTAATATCAACACTTTGATATGTTTTGAATTAAGGTAAATGATCGGCCTTTGCAAAATGTTGAATGTAAGGTTTTTATAAAACCTTAATTGTTTACCGGACCGTCGGGACGTCAATACATATATTTTTATCGGACCTTCTGATTTTTTACCGGTCAGGGCCGACGGTCCGACGGTCTTTCGGAAAGACTGATGTATTGACTAAGATATTATCTGTTTTCAAGTACTCTTTGTGATATTTATCCTTGACGATATTTACATACTTAAACCAGTATCATTGAAAATATATTAACTATAGTTAATGTCTTATTTATGTTTTGATTTAGAAATAAGATATCTTCAAAACTTGTAACTTTATCTTTGTTTATTTTTACTGCAAATACAATGCAGTAATGTCATTGACCTTCTGATACAGGTTTTAGCTGACAAACTGAACTATTTTATTTATGTATATGCTATTTCTAGGCAATTCTTTGTTGTTAATTCTATATACAGATTAATGCTATTTTTTTTAGATTCATTCTATTTATAGAATCATTCTATTTATAGATCAATTCTATTTATGGATCAATTATATTTTTATAGATAGTGATGAGGAGGAGCCAGACAAGCATGACATACAGACAACCATTAAATCACTCAACTCCAAGCTGGAGGACCTGAACACATGTAATGATTTAATAGGCAAACATGGTAGTGCCTTACAGAGGGCTCTTACCGAACTGGAGCAAGTAGAGGGAGCACCAGATGTCTCGAGCAAGATCAAGGTTATCAACGAGAGAGCAACAATGTTCAGGATTACGTCAAATGCAATGATCAATGTAAGTTCTGTCTTTTTAATACCATAATTTTCGGTCACTGTCTCAAGACCAATAACTCTAACGTAGATTTACAGTACCACCTCTGCAGAACAACACTGGACAACAAAAAGCTTGGTTGTTGCTAACACTGTTTGGAGAACAAAAAGCTTGGTTGTTGCTAACACTGTTTGGAGAACAAAAAGCTTGGTTGTTGCTAACACTGTTTGGAGAACAAAAAGCTTGATAATTGCTGAGAGGTGTTGCCCTAGAGAGGTTATTTCTGAAAACCATTTTTCTATTTTTAGTAACAGTGTCTTTGACCTCAGGGGGTTAAGTCTTCCTTCAGGAAGAAATTTTACTGTTGTGTCAAGAGGTTATTGCTATCATGAGTGGTTATTGCTGTAGTCTACAGAGGGTCACTCTGAAGAGGTCACACCATATTCTGAATATTTTGTGTTGTTAAAAAATTAACTAGGAAAAACCCCAAAATTATTAAGGTTGAGGTATTTGCATGCAAATTTTGCATATCTAGTGAAGGTATTCACTGGAACTTTCATTTGTGTCTGTTAAGTCATAATTTAAGGTCACAGACTAAGATTTGCAGTTTTAGCGTAGATTTTGCTCTAAATTAACCCTCACAGAGTAATTTCACCTTGCCTGATATGAATCCGGAAGTAGTATGTTGCAGATTTATGCTCTCTTTGTGCACTTTGTTGAGAAAGATTGTTTTAGTACAATGGTGATTCATTTTGGTAGATTTCTTTTAAAACACTTTATGATAGTTGAAATTTTGCCCATAGCTAAGACATGAAAATTACTGTCATCTCTCAAAAAATACAATTGTTGTGAAATATTTTCTATATTTCATTTCTTTACAGACGCGTTTTTGATAATGAAATTTTCCCATATTTACAGTTTTATCATGTTTGTAGGTCTTCTCTCAAGTCATAAAATCACTAAAATGTTTTCTGTATTACTCATACTGATGTATGATTTAACTTGAATCATACTGGTGGATTTTGTAGTAAAATATTTAATCCTTAACCTGCTGAATTTGTGTAATGGATTTGAATTTAGAACAGTCCATTTAAAGTTTTCAAGGGGTGAACAGTGTACAAATATTGAAAATTTGAAAACCTGATTGTATTTTAGGCTGGATAACCTTACCATTATATTACAAATAAACAAATTGTCATTATTATATAGTATGTAGTCTACAGACTATACTGGTTGTAATTTTGTTTAAGGTAAAGAATTACATGTATTAAGGATAAAATGTCATAAAAATTGCATCTGATAGTTTATTCATTACAGTTTCTGTAGAAACAAGATCTGCATTTAATACAGATTTCTTCCATACTTTGAATGAAGTTGCAAATTTGAAATTGAATTATTCAAAATAAAGTGCAGTGTGTGATTGAAAAACATTGATTTATGTAAATGCAAACTAAAAATATACAAAAACAACTTGTTACATGTTCAGGGTGGCATTTGGAATAAATTGCACAGCAAAACATTCTACATATAGCATCTATTCATATTGGTTTGTCATAAAGTTATTCATAATGGATAAAAACCATTACATAAACCATTACATAGAAATAACTTTCCCGGGCTATTACAGTTTTTGTGTCGCCTTTTAAGGCGACATATAGGGTTACTTTCGTCGACGGTGTCGGCATTGTTGTCATTGTCGGCGTCCCCTAAAGCTTGTCCGGAGCATTATAACTCAGTCACTATAAGTTGGATTGACTTCAAACTTGGTATGAATGCTTCTTTCAATAATCCGAAGTGCAGTGCACAAGGACCAATACTCTGCACTTCTTAATTTTTGAGTTATTGCCCTTTGTTAATTTTCATACTTTAATTTTCTTCAACTTTAAAAGCTATGGACTTGAAACTTCATAGGATGATAGATCATATTAAGAAGTAGTGCAGTGCACAAGAACCAGTACTCTGCATGTCTTATTTTTTGAGTTATTGCCCTTTGTTAATTTTCATACTATATTTTTGTCCGGGCCATTTCTCCTAAAGTATAAAAGCTAATAGCCTATGGTCTTTAAACTTCATAGGATGATAGATCTCATTAAGAAAAGTGCAGTGTACAAGAAGCGGTACTCTGCACTCTCTTATTTTCTTCATTTTTATCCTTGCCATTTCTCCTAATATATATTGTTCACAAGGCGACACATCCAACTCGCGGAATTCTAGTTTTGTGAAGTGCATCTTTTTTCCTACAATCTTTCTACAACTGTTTCGACAATGTAATGGATTATACTATAAGTCATCTGAATTGTTTGGAAAAGATTTTGGAAATTGAAACTCCCCTGTTGATCAGTCTGTCAATGGTTCATTTTATGTTTTTCGGACCTTTGATATGCTGCTAATGTAAAAAAGGCCTTACTATTGAAAAGTCATTGAAAGATATACATGTAAATGAAATCAGTACCCTTTTTCATTTGAAGAATTATTTTCTAAGCGTCCGATAATTGCTTACTTGCTTCTTGTTTCCTTTTTGCATGTTTGCAGTGTCTATTCTAGGAGGGGGGGGTGGTGGGATTCACTCATATTTTTGAGAATTATGAGACAAGTCCATTTAAGATATTAAGTGGCATAAGGTTTCATTTGATCAATATTATGTTATCTTTGGACTAGATTTAGTCAATATAGAAAAATACCTCCTGCAGACATACATGTAGCATAATGATAATGAACAAACCATCATCTTAGTACAGTAACAAATTAACCTGTAAGTGCACTAAGGTGACAAAATAGTTAATACATGTACATTGTAATGATTGTATTCTGTTTTTTATGACAATCCTCTATAATATAGGATATTAAATGAATTGTCATTGCATATAGATAAGATATTAAACAATTCTAGGAAATGATTATATATTTAAAAGTGATCCTAAGGCAAATTTTTTATAACATTTCTTGGACAATTTCATGTAAGCCTACATGTACATAGAAAGACAACACATGCACGTTAAGCAGTATCAGGCTGAGTGGTAAAAGCGTTGGACTAGTTATATAAGGTTTGCTATCTCCGTGGATTCAAATCTAAAATGGTAGGAGCAAGCTGTTGTTTCCTTGAGCAAGAAACTACACTCATTGCTTGGTACTGGTTGATTCCAGGAACCGGTTCTAGAGCATGTCTTTAAGCTTCTTACACAATCAAACTAAAACAAATTTTGTATAAAGCAACACATGTAAATTTTTTGTATCACTTGATATTATAAATGCCAGGAGTGTCCATCTTAAAAGTCAAAATTACTGTAAATGGGCCATTTTCAGATATTAAATTTGTATTATATTAAAAAAGAAGAAAACTCTAATTATAGTTTATTTAACAATGTAACAATCAACATCATGTGATTCATACTAATTGTTACTATTGTTGTACATGTATATACTGCATACATGCAGGGCTTTTTTTCACAGTTTGGGGAAGCAGCCCAGCCCTTAATTTTGGGGAAAAATTACACGGTATATTTGCAAAAGGGGAAGAAAAAACTTTATGTAAATTCAATTTTTGGGGAAAACTGCATGATTATAAAGAAATTTTCTTTGGGGAAGCAGCCCTATACCGGCCCCTGTTATAGAAGGTAAAAAGGCCCTGACATGGTATATGAAGATAATAATTATACCCCCGCACAACAAAGTTGTAAGGGGGGTATACAGGAATCAGGTTGTCCGTCCGGCTGTCCGGCCGTCCGTCGTTTTTTTCTTGTCCGCCCAATAACTTAAGATTCGTTTGACCCACAGTCTTCATATTTGGCATGGAGGTTAGTCATGATTAGTAGATGACCCCTATTGATTTTGAGGTCACCAGGTCAAAGGTCAAGGTCACTGGGGCCTTGACTTCAAAAAGCTTGTCCGCCCAATAACTTAAGATTCCTATGACCCAGAGTCTTCATATTTGGCATGGAGGTTAGTCGTGATTAGTAGATGACCCCTATTGATTTTGAGGTCACCAGGTCAAAGGTCAAGGTCACAGGGGCCTTGACTTCAAAAAACTTGTCCGCCCAATAACTTTAGATTCCTATGACCCACAGTCTTCATATTTGGCATGGAGGTTAGTCGTGATTAGTAGATGACCCCTATTGATTTTGAGGTCAACAGGTCAAAGGTCAAGGTCACAGGGGCCTTGACTTCAAAAAGCTTGTCCACCCAATAACTTAAGATTCCTATGACCCACAGTCTTCATATTTGGCATGGAGGTTAGTCGTGATTAGAAGATGACCCCTATTGATTTTGAGGTCACCGGGTCAAAGGTCAAGGTCACAGGGGACTTGACTTCAAAAAGCTTGTCTGCCCAATAACTTAAGATTCCTATGACCCACAGTCTTCATATTTGGCATGGAGGTTAGTCATGATTAGAAGATGACCCCTATCGATTTTGAGTTCACCAGGTCAAAGGTCAAGGTCACAGGGGCCTTGACTTCAAAGAGCTTGTCCGCCCAATAACTTAAGATTCCTATGACCCACAGTCTTCATATTTGGCATGGAGGTTAGTCGTGATTAGTAGATGACCCCTATTGATTTTGAGGTCACGGGGTCAAAGGTCAAGGTCACAGGGGCCTTGACTTCAAAAAGCTTGTCCGCCCAATAACTTAAGATTCCTATGACCCACAGTCTTCATATTTTGCATGGAGGTTAGTCATGATTAGTAGATGACCCCTATCGATTTTGAGGTCACCAGCCAGAGGTCAAGGCCACAGGGGCCTTGACTTCAAAAAGCTTGTCCGCCCAATAACTTAAGATTCCTTTGACCCACAGTCTTCATATTTGGCATGGAGGTTAGTCATGATTAGTAGATGACGCCTATTGATTTTGAGGTGACGGGGTCAAAGGTCAAGGTCACAGGGGCCTTGACTTCAAAAAGCTTGTCCGCCCAATAACTTAAGATTCCTTTGACCCACAGTCTTTATATTTGGCATGGAGGCTAGTCATGATTAGTAGATGACCCCTATTGATTTTGAGGTCACCGGGTCAAAGGTCAAGGTCACAGGGGC